TCCAGTTATTGTCATCATGAGGATGGATCCTCCCAATTGGGATACGATGACATGCACCAACCAAGTCATCGAGCCCGACCAGCAGTCAGCCGCCTCTTACAAGTAGTGAGTGAGTGAGTATGATTTTACGCCGCTTTTAGCAATATTCCAGCAATATCACGGCGGGGGACACCAGAAATTGGCTTCACACAATGTACCCATGTAGGGAATCGAACCCGGGTCGTCGGCGTGACGAGGGATTGCTTTAACCACAAGGCTACCCGACCGCCCCTACAACAAGTATGGGTTGCTGAAAAACAATTGTAACCCGAATCTTCACGGAGTCAAATCTTTCTGAATACGAGGTATCTGGTTCACCCGTTTCACAAGATCGCGATAGATAGGTAGTGTCCCTATCGGACCATGGCGCTGCGTATCATAAGGAGTGAGTGAGTGAGTATGATTTTACGCCGCTTTTAGCAATATTCCAGCAATATCACGGCGGGGGACACCTGAAATGGGCTTCACACATTGTACCCATGTCGGGAATCGAACCCGGGCCTTCGGCGTGACGAGCGAACGCTTTAACCACTAGGCTACCCGACCGCCCCCGTATCATAAGGATTCTGTCGAGACCAAAACTTAAGTAAACAAGCTGCATGTGGCGACAAGGACAAAATTAAACAATAAAAACTCTCAGTGTCCATGAATCATCCAGACCTCTTAGATGTTTATTTATTTGTACTTGCGAACGAATATGACCTTGGAACCTCTGCACTGATCTTGGTAGCAGCAACCCCATGAATCATAGTTACGTCATGGGAACCTCCCACCAAATAGGGCGTATCATGTGACACGCGACAGATGCACGTGGACGTTTGTCTAATTAAAATCTCAAATTAGCATACGGTGACGATGTGAGATTACTTGGCCCTGCCAGACGCCATCTGTCGGGGGAGTGGGGAGTAGTGGGTCTCGCGCCGACTCACTGTACATACTGAAGTCACAGCCCGCCACGTGATGTCGCGAGATTTCAGTGAGAGGGCACGGTTTACGATATGTCGTTGTCGACAAAGCAACAATGTTTATGCGTCACATGTGACGTCATTCATCAAATATCAGAGGTCCAGTCATCTTTTGTCGATTTCAAACTGTCGATACGTTTCCGACTGGATTCCGTTTCCTCGTGGTCCTTGTTTTGTTTCCGCGTGTTTCATGAGTCACTAATGTGATAATAAAGGGCAACAACAATTCATCCTCAAAAGTTTGAAATATGGATGGCTTTTTCTTCGCGGATTCAAAGTTTGCTTATTATGGACTAGAATTTTGACTCGTGTGACTTGTGTCCAGGGCTAACGGACATTGGGTGACCTTTGGTGTACACGGGGATAAATAGGTCACTACAGAGACCATATAACGTCGGTATGTGGTCTCTGGTCACTAGTATCCCATGGTTGTCGCAAAAGCCGACAAATGACAGTGTGTTGATTGTGTGTGACGTCACCGTGTCACGACGGCGTGGAACGTTGCTCATGACATCAACCTCTAGCTTGCCTGACCCGTGAACTGCTGACTGCGGCGTGAAACAACATGGCCTCAGCTGATCTGAGACTGAATGAATGAGTCGTGTGTAATGCCGCAGAACGTCAGTTCCATCACGGTGCGTCACTCGATGTGTGTGTGTGTGGGGGGGGGGGGGGGGGTGTCAGGGAGCACCTGGGGGAACCGAGTTGGGTTCGAATCCACGATCCCAGGTTTTTGTTACGCGTGAAGATGCGGGGTAGAATAGGTCTTGAGTAACCCATGCTTGTCTCCCCGTGAAGATGCGGGGAGGAATAGGTCTTCAGTAACCCATGCTTGTCTCCCGTCAAGATCCGGGGTAGAATAGGTCTTCAGTAACCCATGCTTGTCTCCCGTGAAGATCCGGGGTAGAATAGGTCTTCAGTAACCCATGCTTGTCTCCCGTGAAGATCCGGGGTAGAATAGGTCTTCAGTAACCCATGCTTGTCTCCCCGTGAAGATGCGGGGTAGAACAGGTCTTCAGCAACCCATGTTTGCTGTAAAAGGCGACAGTGCTTATTGTAAGAGGCGATTAACGGGATCGGATGGTAAGACTCGCTGACTTTGTTGATGCATGTCATCGTATCCCAATTGCGTGGATCGATGCTCATAATATCAATCACTGGAATTTCTGGACTTTCGATTATTTACAGACCGCTGACATATAGCTGGAATATTGTTGAGTGTGGTGTTAAACAACAAACAAACAATAATGTTTTGTGGAGGCAGTGTGTCGTGTAAAATAGCAGAACAACCATGGCATCATCTCGTGATTAGTTCGGCCAAATCGAAATTCATACACTATCACCGCCACCCTCACCATACAGTTGACCCTGTAGTGTGTGACAAGCTGGACATGGACATGAGAGATATGCAACTGGGTCGTGTAATGACAAATGGCTATTCCAGGCAGTCTAGGAGCACGGTAATATCCATTGCGCACATTATTCCCTACATAAAACCTAATCAATGCGTATGCAGGTCCAAGGTTAACTTCAGACTTCCGTGAGTACACACACATGTGGACAGCGTGACGACAACCATGCTCCCCCTCGCACGCGCCTACCTCCCTCCCACACACACACACACACACACACACACACACACACATCACTGGTACTGTGAAAATATGTAGTGATGCACTGGTATCGTGATGTCATACTAGCTGATGGAACACATTCGTTGACGCCATATTTTGAATATATATATACTGAACCGAAAAAAGAAACCTTATTTGTCCAAACACTGTAAACATACTTTGAGACACTGCAAACATACTTTGAGACATATCAACAAGATGAAACTTGGCAAAACTGATCACCAAGGTAGAAATCAAGGTTAAAGTGTCAAATGTTCTTAAAGTGAAACACAACACTAGTCTCTGAGAAAATGGCATCACAAGTCAGTGTCTCGTGTGTCCGCCATGTGTATTGATGACTGCCGTGCAACGTCGATACATGGAATGGATGAGGCGGTTGATGAAGGCCATAGGCACTTGAGCCCACACTCTTAGGAACGCCAGACGCAGTTCAGCTGCAGTTGTCGGCCTTGGTCGGACGTCTGGTTCTGATGCCACAAGTATCTTGTTGCTCTCGCAGTTTGGGCACGGGCGTTATCATGCTGAAAGTGGTTGCGTTGCGGCGACGTGCCAAATGAGGTATGGCGTGTGGTCTCAAGACTTGATCGATGTACAGAGCTGCTGTGACACCATTGCCTCTCCCTGGACCGATGTTCTGGAAGACCACTCTCTGTGCAACACCTATTCCACCCTCCACCATGATGCTCGGACCACCCCACGAGTCTCTCTCAACAACACAAGCATCTGAATAACGTTCCCCTCCCTCTCTGTCATCTGCTGTTGAGATACAGTAACGGCTTTCGTCTGTGAAGAGGACTCTTCTCCAGTGCTGGTGGCGCCAATGGTGGTGCTGTGTTGCCCACTGAAGATGGTCCCGGCGATGACGTGGTGTCAGAATGGTTCTCTGTGTGGCCTGTGACAATGGAGGTGTCTGCTCGTCAAAGTGCCATGGTCGTGGCCGTGATGCGTTTGGGCGATCGGTTTTATTGTCATTGTTTTTTTTATCATCAAATTTAATTTTTCCGGACAAGGTAATGTTAAATTTTAGAGACCTTGGCAAAAAATACCCAAATATTTAAAATGACAACTTTTCATGCAATGTTACTTGGGGTGACGTTTCTTTTGCGGTTCAGTATAGTTTCAAAGCTAATTTCCATTGAGTGAGTGAGAGAATGAGTTGAGTTTAACGCCGCTTTTAACAGTATTCTAGTTATATCGCGGCGTGTCAGCTTAATGTGGGAGGAAAACCCGAAGTGACGCAGGTCTTAGACGTTTACCACTTCGGTGAAACCCACGAGCACGGGTATGGTGCTGACAAACCTAGAAACATAGTCGGGGCGAACCGGGATTCGAACCCACAATCATAGGTTTCTGGCGTGCCCAAGGGACGCAACTCTGCACAACGAATCGCGGCGCCTTAGACGACTGGGCCACCCGTGCCCCCTAATTTCTATTGCCCGGGACGGGACACATATAAGTATTGCAGATCTCGTACTAACTTCTAATGCCGACAAACGAACACAGGAACCGTTTTGAAATGAAACGTTTTGTCCATGTCGAAAACACTCCTAAATATACACTCGATAACGCCGAACCTAAGTGTATTTGACACTGAATTACAAGATTCGAATCTTCATATGACGTAAATGCTGAACGAGTTTTTTATCTGTCAGAATGATTTACTGCAACACCACGGGACAAACAACATGGGCTTTACACCAAACAAACAAATAAAAAAGCAAATGATGTAGCTTTTCGTGCATGTATTGCAACAAGGAGATTCAGGACATAGATATTTGCAACGCATCTACAGTTCGGTCAATTCCTCCTAATATGTTGAAAACACAAGTTTATGGTGTAACTATAGTTTTAAATGTTTAGGTATTTTTTCACCAGCAGAAACACACCGTCAAAACCCGGAACTCAGGGTATGTGTGATGTTTGATAGTTAGAGGAACATGTGCGTTGATTGTTTAAATCTTTTTCCGTTTCAAAAAATTTAAATGACATAAAAAGAACAAAAGGTTTGGGAAAAAAGTTATTTAACATTTCAAATAAAGTGCATATAAAGTGCAGTAGTTTTAGTGGAAACAGCAACATCACTAATTAAAAGAATCATACGAATGTGGATGAAGACTATTTTCCACGTACCAGTCATCTGGCGAGAGGCTGCAGATGGTAAAACAACAAATGTAAAATACGGGATGTACCTGAGTATAAATTGTAATAAATATTTTGTGTGTTTTTCTTAATCAAATCATTTTGTTGACAAAATTTGTTTTGCCCACATTTACATATAACTGTTATGTATCAATAAACATGGCATGTCACCATAACGAATTGTCTAGATTGAAAATATGACCTCCAACTGATGATATACACGACTTCTGTGAACCAGACGTGTTTGACCTGATAAGACCAGGTGTGAAGCGGTGACCCAACATTCGTGGCCGTACTTCAAACAGGACCGTTGACCATTGGTGCGCTACCTGGTGAGTACAGCTCGCATTGCCTATCAGATAATTTACTTTATGTATTAATAGTATTGCCTTTTCGTGACAAAATGTGTACTTTGTGATAAAAGCATGATGTAGGTAGCACAGATGTAGGTAATGACATTCTAAATATTTTGAGATATGTGGCCACCGATAAAAATCGAATGCGGCCGCCACGGAGGAATGAAATCCTAGTATATCTTATATGAAAATGACCCAGAACCAAAATATATTAAGAACACTGATCATTTTGGAATGTATATACCCAACGCTACTTCAATAAGTTTCAGATGTCCTGCCTGCCCTACCGTGGTCAGTATTGCAGCCCCATCTGAAAGTAGTGCGTTAATCTCTTGGCGACAGAGTGTAGATAGTGTTTCTAGACATGTTGTGACATCCCTTTTATTGATGGAACGTAGTTTGCCAAACTTTAAGACAGGTTTGATTTTTGGACAAAAAAGTGTCCTCAAGCTTGCCACTGCTTCTTAACAGCCCATGTATAGTTGTGAGAAAAGGACCGCCTCCGTGGTCTAGTGGTAGAGCGTCCGCCCGGAGAGCGGAAGGTCCGGGTTTCGATCCCCGACCGCGTCATACCAAAAGACGTTAAAAGATGGTACTTGTTGTAACCCTGTCTGGCGCTCGGCATTAAGGGGCTAAAACAAGGACTGGTCGGCTCGGAGTCAGTATACTGTGTCTGAGTGGGGTATTCATGTTAAACTGCGGCATGGTATCTCAGTGAGCTAGCACTATAAATCGGCATCAGTCCGGACTAGTACAAGCAGCAACACAAACACACATACGTACATGCACGTCGCTATATAAGTGCAATAATCTTGGAAGCGACGTTAAACACCATTTCACCTCACCTCACCTGTAAGAAAAGAGCGCAATCATTCTTCAGATGAGAAAGCATTATTTGTTTTTCTTCACCACAAAATTACTTTTCTTGAATTCCTCTTCCACAGTAGGCTGTTGTGATGCTAGTGTAGTCATGTGATACACTGGAAACATTTCGGCATAATTAACATGGTCAAGGGAAAAAACCCATGGAATTAGCTTTGCGAGTGAGTACTTATTCAGGTCAAAATTATCTTCTCTTTCGTATAAACATCAAAGAAGTCACTTCTAAATCCAAAGATGCTGACCAGAATTTGAACGAGTAGGAATTTGTGTTTTATCAAATCTGTGCCAGTTGATCTGTTGACAAGTCTAATGTGTCTTCCTTGTAAGCTTTTGACATCAATATGAAGACATAACAAACTTTGACCTCATGCGAGGGTCTTGTTCGGGAAACATTTGAATCTTTCAAAAGTGAATCAACTGTTCCTTGAGAAGCAATGTTTGCTTTAGATAAAGCAGATGTCCAACCACTTTCCTCAAGGCAGGCCCACTTTGTGTGCGGTGCAGCCATTTCTGTATGAAGGGCACCAGACATCATGACAAAGTGATCCTCCCATTACCTATCTTGGCAAACTAGGGATCTGTCCTGGATTGACATGATGTACAACTTGTCCAAATACATCTGAGGAATATGTAATCATGACCACTGATTTTAAACCTTCCAGGAGAAAAGAGGTACAAAGTACCAAAGCACGAATAGTATATGATAATACAGTTACGTAATTTACAAATGTGCTTGGTAAATACATTCCAAAATGAAAATTTTCCATAATATGTTCCTACGAACTATTTTCCTCAATGGCGGCAATACTGGATTGGCGGCCATATTGGATTTTAGGAAGCTCCAATATATCAAAATATTTGAAATGCTATGACTTACATAACCTATTTTAATTTACATGTAATTTCAGTTAGTAACTTTGAAAGATATGCATATTCCGAGAAAGTAAGTAAGTGTCTGGCGGCCATCTTGTAAATGGCTTTTTATCAGGATTTTCTTATTGGCCCCATATCCAAAATTGATGGTAACACCGATATCTATCATCATGCCAAGGTTCATGCTTTTATCACAAAGTGCACCATTTACCTTTAATAGCCTTGAAGGGGCGAGTCTCGAGCCCGTGGGTTCAGGTGACGATGCTGTGCAGCAAAGTGACGTTCATTTATTGTAGGGCAATGCTGCCATATATGTACTAAATAACCACCATCAGCTTTCGAAATTATTGCACGTGTCCATGAAAAAGAACACCATGCTGGTGTCCCTTTCAAGGTGACGCCATTGGTTCACAATGCCCCGCCCCCAGAACAAGCCACACCCACTCAGTCAGTCTGCTGAACGAGAGCGCCGTTAAATGTTCCAGGAAGTATTTGTGTGAGGGTCACAAAAGAAATATTGTGCCCTGATTGGCTCGGACTACTTTCATAGAACAATCTACATATCTGATGTTTTTCCGTGATTTCCGTCATATTTCCCCCCATCATGGACATCTTACAATAAAAAATAACCACTGGTAGAAATACATTGTGAAGCCACATATTATTATTATTATATAACAGTGTGTTGTTGTTACATCTTTATATATATAAACTGACGTCCAAAAGAAACTTTACCAACTGAAAATATAAATTTCAGACAAAGTATAAAATTTTTTTTCGATGAAGTCTATCTAAAACACATAACCTAAATACAACAATAGTGTATGCAGAAAATGTTAATCGTCTGTTACATGTTTGCGAGATAACACGCGAAAAAGTGAAAAACGCGTGCACCACGGACAACTGCAAATGCACGTGCGGGTAAGGGTATTTTTTAAAAAAAAAACACAAAAGAAATGTCACGACTCACAGTCGAACAACGTGAACGAGCCTTTGGTATGGTACAGATGGGAGCCACCCACGCCCATATTGCACGAACCTTCGGTTGCTCCCGTGTTGCCGTTACCAACTTGATGCAACGTTACAGACAGACAGGGCGGACGGCTGACAAGCCAAGAACCGGCAGACATAGGGTGACCACGCCCCATGATGACCGGTACTTGCGTACCTTGCACCTCCGAAATCGCTTCCTGACAGTGACGTCATCGGCTACAAATGCCTTAGGTCACAGGGTTAGTCGACAGACAGTGGCCAGGAGACTCAGGGCTCATGGAATCAGGGCTTTTAGACCATACAGAGGACAGCTATTGACAGCGCAACATCGTCGTCTGCGATTGAGATGGGCCCGGACTGTACGACGTTGGCAACGTCGTGACTGGCAGAGGGTTGTCTTCACTGACGAAAGTCGATTCTGTATGTCTAGGGCTGATGGAAGATAACGTGTTTACCGCCGAAGGGGTGAACGAACGGCGGCGTGTTGCGTGCAGGAGGTCGTACCATATGGTGGAGGGAGTGTCATGGTGTGGGGAGGGATCTGTGGGCAGGAGAGGACACCGCTGGTCATCGTTGACGGAAACTTGACAGCTCAGCGTTACATAGATGCCATTCTTCGTCCAGTTTTCCTACCATTTCTCCAACAGCAGCCACGTGGTGTCATTTATCAGCATGACAACGCTAGAGCCCATACAGCCAGAATTGTCACTAACTTCCTCGCAGCCAACAACGTCAACGCCCTGACGTGGCGTTGCACGCTCACCCGACATGTCCCCCATAGAACACCTCTGGGACTTGATGGATCGTCGCGTTCGACAACGACCACACTCTCCAACCAACCGGCAAGAACTGATCTTGGCCCTCCAAGAAGAATGGCGTCAAATCCCACGTGACCTCATCAGACGACTGACTTTTTCTGTGCGTCGAAGAGTTTTTGCGTGTATTGAGGCATTTGGTGGTCACACACGCTACTAATGACTTGTTATTGAACGTGAGCGATTGTTTATATACTCTGCCTATTGTCCATGATTCTGAAAGCTCAAGTTTTGTACTACACCCAACTTTGGGGGGCTCTGACGTCATTCTCGGTCGCGGTATGATTGTCTTTTTCAGTGTTGATTATGTTGATATATTGATCTTCTCAATACACTTTACTTCATGTATGTATGTTTTGTTGTTTTTGAGCAAGAGTGATTTCAAACTCGGGTAAAGTTTCTTCTGGACGTCAGTTCCCGGTAAGAACAGGTCCTCAGCAACCCATGCTTGCTGTAAAAGCCAACTGTGCTTGTCGTTAGAAGTTGATGCATGTCATTGTTCCCCAATTGTGTGGATCGATGCTTATGATGTCAATCACTGGATGATTTTCATCATTCACAGTAACTCGTAAGCTATCCATTTTTGGTGATCAGATTGGGATTGCGTCGTCTACAATGTGATGAACGCCTAAGGGACATTTCCGTTCTTCAAACTGGTAGAACTCGGCGAGAGGTATCCAATTTGTACAATGTGTCTCAGTCTCTTGGACACGACATGGTGACGCATACACCGACGTCAAAGGCCATGCTTTTGTTCACTGTGTTCCGCACCTGTGCTGTCGGCATATTTTATATAGATTTTTGCACGTGCATTTCCGGCGTTCTTAGAGTGCAGACGACGTTTTCACAAAATTCCCTTTTTAATATTAACACTTTCTCACGCTTTATTTCATCAATACCTTTCGTTGTATTTGTGCGACATATTTCACCTCCATTTCATTTCTCTGTGGTTTTGTAAATTTATAATGTAATTAATGAGAATTCCGATTCCTATGTCAAACTATCTATGACTTACACAAATGAAAATGTATTTTATTTTGTTATATATTAGATCTGTGCTATATAATTGTATAAATGTCCTTTGTCAATATGGTATATAATCCTTTCAAAAATATATCTGTCTTGGTAGTTCAAATCAGGCGCGCTCAGAGACATGAACATCACGTTAATATACATGACCGCCTCCGTGGTCTAGTGGTAGAGCGTCCGCCCGGAGAGCGGAAGGTCCGGGGTTCGATCCCCGGCCGCGTCATACCAAAAGACGTTAAAAGATGGTACTTGTTGTTACCCTGTCTGGCGATCGGCATTAAGGGGTTAAAGCAAGGACTGGTCGGCTCGGAGTCAGTAAACTGTGTCTGAGTGGGGTATTCATGTTAAACTACGGCATGGTATTTTAGTGGACTAGCACTATAAATCGGCATCAGTCCGGTCTAGTACAAGCAGCCACACACACAAACGCTTTATAAGTGCAATAATCTTGGAAGCGACGTTAAACCAAACTTCACCTCACCGTTGATATACATACTTGTGTTTCAGGTTACTGTGACCATGGAACTGACAACAACTCTCCTCAGTCTAGTGCTTGTGGCCTGTGTGACAGGTATGTCGCATGCTGTTCATGTAGACCCCAGGTTACCACCCCAAGTCTTGCAAACAGTCAGTGTTGATGAGATGACCTCACGTGCCTGGAGCTGATAGTCTAGTTTGGCTCTGATGACGTCATGTCCGTGGGGCGTGTCAAACACAGGGAAATCAACCAATCAGCCTCCACCTGCATGGCTTCTGTCTGATGTGAGATAAAACTAACATGGGCAACCTATGTATTAATCCTGAAAATCACCTTACTGTTAAAAAACACAAACTGGGACCATTTGTCCACCTAAAATTAAAATTTATAACCTTGAATTTATTTACGATTGACAATATAATGTATGGCGGATGTCGAGGCTTATGAAAACCTATTTATATGAATCATTTTCTTAAAACAAGCATGTAATAATCCCCATGCATATACACGTATCGGGGAGTCTACTTCACGTTCAGCATGCTTCACGTCATATTCACCTTTACATTATACTCCCTATAAGTCATTGTTAAGTTAAAACCCGATAGAAACTCAATGCAGTGTCGATGAAGTCAAGGTTAACAAATACCCAGCGTGCACAGGAAACAGTGGTCTGTGGTGAAGTGGATCTTCCTCGCCACGGGGTACTCATTACCTCATTATGGGCCCGTCAACATCCGGGGTAGAAAAGGTCTTCAGCAACCCTTGCTTGCCGTAAAAGACGACTATGCTTGTTGTAAGAGGCGACTATATCTAAGGGGATCGGGTGGTCAGGCTCGTTGACTTAGTATATGCATGTCATCGATCCCAATTGCGTGGAGCGATGCTCATGCTATCAATCACTGGATTGTCTGGTCCAAACTCGATTATATACAGACCACCGTCATATAGCTCGAATTTTGCTGAGTGCGGCGTTAAACAAACAAAACAAACAAAACCCCATTACGTCACTGACGTGGTTGCTGCACACCAACCGGCCAGTACTAGCAATATCAAACAGTTATATTATCGACGCATTGAAATAAATGCTAATATTTGTCAATATGGTAATCTTCCATTTACCTATAACCGAACTTTTGGTACCGTATGGGATAAATTCAAACCTTCTCATACACGATTTGGGGCGGTCGGGTAGCCTAGTGGTTAAAGCGTTCGCTCGTCACGCCGAAGACCCGGGTTCGATTCCCGACATGGGTACAATGTGTGAAGCCCATTTCTGGTGTCCCCCGCCGTGATTTTGCTGGAATATTGCTAAAAGCGGCGTAAAACCATACTCACTCACTCACTCATACACGATTTCAAGGGTAACGAAACCCGTGTCATCTACGAACTCCATTTACGATTATTTTAGAATAAGAAAATACAGGAAAACGATGGCAATAGTTACACACCTCTGTCATATATAGAGGTGTCGTAAGCATAGTATGACATGAACATGGATATAACTTTTAGTGTTTACCTATAAGGACAGCACAACTGCAGCGGAACCACGATTTGTCGAATGACGTCAACAATCTTCAGCTATGACCTCGTTTCTAGTGTGCCGGATGACGGAAACAAAACACTGTTGTCTCGTGACGTCATATAACCCTAGGGCACATACGATTTTTATGAATCCCGATATGTTTGCCCTCTTAAGTAATAAATGGTCATAGTCACTTGAATGCTCTTTTATTTCATGACCTTCGTAATGAATGCAAATGATAAATTCATTTCAAACGTTGGTCATGTGTACCTCGGATTGCACGTTCATTTCCTAGCTCGCTAAATTTTGGAAACACTGTTCCTTCGTGTGGTGTTACACTGGTATGACTTCTGTCCCGGCGTCTGATGTAAGAAGAACCTAAGACACATGCCTTATGTTGCAGTTGATGGCAAGATATTCTATAAGTGCGAACTAGCGCAGGAGCTAGAGCGTCTCGGCGTCAACACCGAACTCTATCGATGTAAGTGTAATAATTCAGTGATTCTTTAGTTTATTCAATCAACTACAGCTAACCTGCTTCCATTTGTTACGTGTTTTCCCCTGAAACTGGTGTAGCGGCCATAACATTAGTCCCGGGATTCGAACTATGGACTTTCTGATCTGAGGCCGGACGCCTTGTCCACATGGCCAAAGAGGTTAACCCCGTCAGCAAGCTGACAAGGTAAGGCTGTCATCTGTGGGATGACTCCACACCCTGCTACACTGACAAGGTAAGGATGTCATCTGTGGGATGACTCCACACCCTGCTACACTGACAAGGTAAGGCTGTCATCTGTGGGATGACTCCACGCACTGCTACTCTGACAAGGTCAGGATGTCATCTGTGGGATGACTCCACGCACTGCTTCACTGACAAGGTCAGGATGTCATCTGTGGGATGACTCCACGCCCTGCTACGCTGGCATTAACAGATTAAATAAGAAAAGTCATTATCAAAATCAGGAATTATGAGTTATTAGTCATGTGTTTCTTGACGGATTAGCGTGTGGACAGTTGTCTCCCTTGATTGTCCAGGGTATTTAATTCTATTCAATCATGATGTATATTTTATAAATATAAACGACACTATAAGAGCCTTTACTGACCCAAGGCAAGGGCGTTTCCACTGGAAACTGGACTTTTGTAGTCAGTGAACACCCTTGCATTGCCTCGGGAAGACGTACAAACACATGGTGAACTAGTTCTGTTGGGTCATCGAGTTGCTCAAAGTGAAAATGATCTTCTTAATGTTGGAAAATTAGCCGTTTCACTCTCTTTAAACATGGTTCATAATTTCCATGTAAGCTTTTCAAAGATTGTAGTTTCTTTCAAATTTAAAGTTTCTAATTGGCCAAAAATGACCCGTACCCTACCTGGTCCTTTATCACAAAGGGGAGATAATTCACCGGACTGTAGAGGATGCCAAGTCGTCTCATGTGTCTGTGTCTAGTCAGGGGTCAACACGGCGGCAAGTCGGGTCTGTGTAGGAATCCAATCGTCACAGCACAGGTCCCCATCGTCGCACGTCGTCGTGAGGCTCCCCTGATCTCTTCCGCCCTGCTCCTTATTTAGAATAATTATACACAGGGGTATGCATGGCGTCTGCCGAGTCCAGCTTCAACACGGCGGCAACCAACACCAACAGCGGTGGCTCCAGCGACTACGGTATCTTCCAGATCAACAGCTACTGGAACTGCGACCCCCAGGATGGTAGACCGACCTACAATGGCTGCGGACACCCTTGCTCCGGTAAAACATCCAATCATGATAGTCAGACATAAATGACGGGTGTATTTCAAAAGATAGAGTAACATGCAGATCTAATTTCAGAATTTCAACGGGGCGGTGGGAAACGCCAGGTTGTTGTTGATTGGTTTGTTTTTTAACGCCTCATTCAGCAATATTCCAGCTATATGACGGAGGTCTGTAAGTAATCGAGTCTGGACCATACAATCCAGTGATTGATCCAAGCAATTTGGATCGATGACATGCTTCAACCAAGTCAGCGTGCCTGACAACCCCCATCCCGTTAGTCGCCTCTTACGACAAGCATAGTCGCCTTTTACAGCAAGCATGGGTTGCTGAAGACCTGTTCTACCCCGAATCTTCACGGGTCGTGGATATGCCAGGGGTTAAAGCGTTTGCTCGTCACGCCGAAGACCCGGGTTCGTTTTCCCACATTGGTAGAATGTGTGAAGCCCATTTCTGGTTCCCCCTGCCGTGATATTTCTGGTATATTGCTAAGAAGACGTAACACCATCCTTACTCACTCACTCATTCACTCACTTAAACCCTTAACAAGCGTATTTTTGCTTAGAAACATGGTTTTCTATGCAATATGTTAAGGGACATTCTCGCATTCTCGGTTCTCGCATCTTGACCTTCGGAAACAAGTAATGTGCCCAAAGAGCGACAATACATTCTCGAGTTTTCGTCAAACGACGAGAACGCAAGAATGCGACATTTGGACATCGTATAAAATCTAGCAATCTCGACTTTTGAAAGTTTGTAAAAAAAACCCCACGTGATCACGAGAATAAGATAACGAGATTTTTAGCTTGTTTCCAAAGGTCGAGCACTCGAGAATGTCCTTTACAGTGTTCCATAGTTTCTACCGCTAATACACACCTATATTCACTTTAAATGTTATCCTTGGTTTGCCTACGACCTGTGTCACGTTTTGTACCAGATTCACGAAAGTTTATCTATTTCTGTTACAATAATTAGATATATCCTTATATCAACTCACCAAGTGGTGCCGCTCGCAGTCACGTGACTGCCGATCCTCAGTCGGATTGTAACCACGTGATCAAAACATATGCAGCTGTCTATATTTGGATATTTACGATATTTCGTGTTTCTATTTCAAGTGTCGGGAACTATAACATATATGCACACACGCTTGATAAAAATAATTATGAAAGTCAATAATTTAACAAAACATTTTTATTATGTAATTCAGACTACCTGAACACAGACCTCGGCGACGACATCCAGTGCATCCGACAACTCCTCAGGGAACACAGCGGCTGGGGCTTCTCGTGAGTAGGACAGACCACAGCCTGCCATGACAGCATGGCGTTATACTGAATATATACTGCCATGACAGCATGGCGCTATACTGAATATATACTGCCATGACAGCATGGCGCTATAGTGAATATATACTGCCATGACAGCATGGCGTTATACTGAATATATACTGCCATGACAGCATGGCGCTATACTGAATATATACTGCCATGACAGCATGGCGTTATACTGAATATATACTGCCATGACAGCATGGCGCTATACTGAATATATACTCGTATAACGAGTCTGAATGTTCACAGTCGCAGTCATATGAAGAGAAGCTTTACTACCTACAACTTGAGGTGGGGGAAATGGGGTTTACCGTGCATGTACGTGTGTGTGTGGCTCCTTGTACTAGTCCCGACTAATGCCGATCTATAGTGCCAGCCTACTGAGATACCATGCCGCAGTTTAGTCCCTTAACAACAAGTAGCATCGAGTATCGTCTTTTGGTAGGACGCGGCCAGAGGTCGAACCACCAGACCACGGAGGCAGTCAGCCAGCGACTTGAAGTCATGCATGTTCAAGTTCAGCTGACAGCACGGCCGCCCCGTGAACATCCGGGTTTCAATTGTCCTTCTGCAACCTTTGCTTGTCGTAAGATGCGACGAACGCAGGTCATTGCATCCTAATTTCTTAGATCGATGCTCATTATGACAATCATCGGATTGTCTGGTCTGACTCAATTATTTACAGACCGCTGACATGTAGCTGGCGGCTTTACACAAACAAACAAACAAACAAAACCACAAGACACAAATGAAAGCACGCGCCTATAACTGTCTCCAAGCGCGTGTCCAACTTAATACCCCATGCTCCCTGAAAACAGTAACAAATGTTTCATGAAGTCATTGTTGTGAAAACATAATACTGGTTTTATTTTCATACTATGTTTGTATTCTACTTATATGTTACAGAAATATTTAAACGGAAATGTGCCATATTCTCATTCCTGATTCTGAAGGTACCATATTTTCTGGGTGACACATGTACGCTTCATGACAGTATGTAGGTACTTGCATCAATAGATAGGTATGCTACAACAGTTCTTTGCGCCGTGTTGATCCCCTTGATCAAAGCTATCTCGTCATGTTTTGTTCCAGGTACGGATACGCTGACAAGTGTGCCTCGGTGACCAGCAGCTACCTGTCCGAGTGTTCCTTGTGATCTGTCATCCCGCCACCTCACGTCTAGGACAGACAAACCACGTGTGTTTAAAAAAAATAAAATAAATCGAATGTGATGTTCGGTTTATCAGTAGTTAACACATTAGTTGTCTTAGTATTGGATGACGATCACGTGAGAGAGGCTCACTCACGAGACGGCAGTGTCCCGGATGTAAATGTGTAGTTATGTTCCTGGTGTTAACGTATTAGTACAGTGGTGATTCTAGTGATGTCTGTAGACACTGACTAGGTCATACTAGGGGGTACCAGACTCGCTGTCACTGACTAGGTCATACTAGGGTGTGTAACACACTCGCTGTCACTGACTAGGTCATACTATGGAATGTAACAGACTCGCTGTCACTGTCTTGGTCATACAAGGGGGTGTAGCATACTTGCCGTCACTGAATAGATCATACTAGGGGGTGTAACAGACTCGCTGTCACTGTCTAGGTCATACAAGGGGGTGTAACACACTTGCCGTCACTGAATAGATCATACTAGGGTGTGTAACACACTCGCTGTCACTGACTAGGTCATACAAGGGGGTGTAACACACTTGCCGTCACTGACTAGGTCATACTAGGGGGTGTAACAGACTCGCTGTCACTGTCTAGGTCATACAAGGGGGTGTAACACACTTGCCGTCACTGAATAGATCATACTAGGGGGTGTAACAGACTCGCTGTCACTGTCTAGGTCATACAAGGGGGTGTAACACACTTGCCGTCACTGAATAGATCATACTAGGGTGTGTAACACACTCACTGTCACTGACTAGGTCATACAAGGGGGTGTAACACACTTGCCGTCACTGACTAGGTCATACTAGGGGGTGTAACAGACTCGCTGTCACTGTCTAGGTCATACAAGGGGGTGTAACACACTTGCCGTCACTGAATAGATCATACTAGGGGGTGTAACAGACTCGCTGTCACTGTCTAGGTCATACAAGGGGGTGTAACACACTTGCCGTCACTGAATAGATCATACTAGGGTGTGTAACACACTCGCTGTCACTGACTAGGTCATACAAGGGGGTGTAACACACTTGCCGTCACTGACTAGGTCATACTAGGGTGTGTAACAGACTCGCTGTCACTGTCTAGGTCATACAAGGGGGTGTAACACACTTGCCGTCACTGACTAGGTCATACTAGGGGGTGTAACACACTTGCCGTCACTGTCTAGGTCATACAAGGGGGTGTAACACACTTGCCGTCACTGTCTAGGTCATACTAGGGGGTGTAACAGACTCGCTGTCACTGTCTAGGTCATACAAGGGGGTGTAACACACTTGCCGTCACTGACTAGGTCATACTAGGGGGTGTAACAGACTCGCTGTCACTGTCTAGGTCATACAAGGGGGTGTAACACACTTGCCGTCACTGACTAGGTCATACTAGGGGGTGTAACAGACTCGCTGTCACTGTCTAGGTCATACAAGGGGGTGTAACACACTTGCCGTCACTGAATAGATCATACTAGGGGGTGTAACAGACTCGCTGTCACTGTCTAGGTCATACAAGGGGGTGTAACACACTTGCCGTCACTGAATAGATCATACTAGGGTGTGTAACACACTCGCTGTCACTGACTAGGTCATACAAGGGGGTGTAACACACTTGCCGTCACTGACTAGGTCATACTAGGGGGTGTAACAGACTCGCTGTCACTGTCTAGGTCATACAAGGGGGTGTAACACACTTGCCGTCACTGAATAGATCATACTAGGGGGTGTAACAGACTCGCTGTCACTGTCTAGGTCATACAAGGGGGTGTAACACACTTGCCGTCACTGAATAGATCATACTAGGGTGTGTAACACACTCGCTGTCACTGACTAGGTCATACAAGGGGGTGTAACACACTTGCCGTCACTGACTAGGTCATACTAGGGGGTGTAACAGACTCGCTGTCACTGTCTAGGTCATACAAGGGGGTGTAACACACTTGCCGTCACTGAATAGATCATACTAGGGGGTGTAACAGACTCGCTGTCACTGTCTAGGTCATACAAGGGGGTGTAACACACTTGCCGTCACTGAATAGATCATACTAGGGTGTGTAACACACTCGCTGTCACTGACTAGGTCATACAAGGGGGTGTAACACACTTGCCGTCACTGACTAGGTCATACTAGGGGGTGTAACAGACTCGCTGTCACTGTCTAGGTCATACAAGGGGGTGTAACACACTTGCCGTCACTGAATAGATCATACTAGGGGGTGTAACAGACTCGCTGTCACTGTCTAGGTCATACAAGGGGGTGTAACACACTTGCCGTCACTGAATAGATCATACTAGGGTGTGTAACACACTCGCTGTCACTGACTAGGTCATACAAGGGGGTGTAACACACTTGCCGTCACTGACTAGGTCATACTAGGGGGTGTAACAGACTCGCTGTCACTGTCTAGGTCATACAAGGGGGTGTAACACACTTGCCGTCACTGAATAGATCATACTAGGGGGTGTAACAGACTCGCTGTCACTGTCTAGGTCATACAAGGGGGTGTAACACACTTGCCGTCACTGAATAGATCATACTAGGGTGTGTAACACACTCGCTGTCACTGACTAGGTCATACAAGGGGGTGTAACAGACTCGCTGTCACTGTCTAGGTCATACAAGGGGGTGTAACACACTTGCCGTCACTGAATAGATCATACTAGGGTGTGTAACACACTCGCTGTCACTGACTAGGTCATACAAGGGGGTGTAACAGACTCGCTGTCACTGTCTAGGTCATACAAGGGGGTGTAACACACTTGCCGTCACTGAATAGATCATACTAGGGTGTGTAACACACTCGCTGTCACTGACTAGGTCATACAAGGGGGTGTAACACACTTGCCGTCACTGACTAGGTCATACTAGGGGGTGTAACAGACTCGCTGTCACTGTCTAGGTCATACAAGGGGGTGTAACACACTTGCCGTCACTGAATAGATCATACTAGGGGGTGTAACAGACTCGCTGTCACTGTCTAGGTCATACAAGGGGGTGTAACACACTTGCCGTCACTGAATAGATCATACTAGGGGGTGTAACAGACTCGCTGTCACTGTCTAGGTCATACAAGGGGGTGTAACACACTTGCCGTCACTGAATAGATCATACTAGGGTGTGTAACACACTCGCTGTCACTGACTAGGTCATACAAGGGGGTGTAACAGACTCGCTGTCACTGTCTAGGTCATACAAGGGGGTGTAACACACTTGCCGTCACTGACTAGGTCATACTAGGGGGTGTAACAGACTCGCTGTCACTGTCTAGGTCATACAAGGGGGTGTAACACACTTGCCGTCACTGAATAGATCATACTAGGGGGTGTAACAGACTCGCTGTCACTGTCTAGGTCATACAAGGGGGTGTAACACACTTGCCGTCACTGAATAGATCATACTAGGGTGTGTAACACACTCGCTGTCACTGACTAGGTCATACAAGGGGGTGTAACACACTTGCCGTCACTGACTAGGTCATACTAGGGAGTGTAACACACTTGCCGTCACTGACTAGATCATACTAGGGGTCGCAACACACTCGCTGTCACTGACTAGGTCATACTATGGGGTGTAACAGACTCGCCGTCACTGACTAGGTCATACTAGGGGGTGTAACACTCTCGCCGTCACTGACTAGGTCATACTAGGGGGTGTAACAGACTCGCTGTCACTGACTAGGTCATACTAGGGGTCGTAACAGACTCGCTGTCACTGACTAGGTCATACTAGGGGGTGTAACACACTCCCCGTCACTCTCTAGGTCATACTAGGGAATGTGAAAAACAGCAAAACCGGTTCCATATAAGAAATCTCTGCTAAAAGCAAAGGCTATTTTACGATTACGGCAGAAGCATGTGTATGAATGAAATGCAGATACAATTGTGGGTGAAACACACTCGCAGTGAATAGTCAGTTCTTTTGTAATTACACAAGCCAGGAGAGGGAGACATGGGAGTATGCCATATATGGTTCTACATACCGAGGTGTCTCGCATGGCTTTGGATTACATGTATTTCACAATTAACTTCCTTGTCCATGACCTCTGTGACCCCGTTGAACATACATCACCCCGACGTCCCTGTGTACACAGTTTCTGCACGCGATGCATTAATGAGGACGCCATCCCCTTCTCTCTACCGTAGCGTCGCACCTGGCTCCGTGTGTCGTGTTTGTTTGTTGTTTAACGCCACACTCAACAATATTCCAGCTATAACAACAAAAGTTCCTGTGACATTGAATAAGATTTAATTCAAAGTTATGTCTTTTTACCAAATCTGAAACAATTTCGGTATGCAACAGATAAAAGACTTCTGTTTGTGTTCAAATGGTTTAATTTGCCATACTGACTTCAGAAAACGCGTGATTTCATAAAAAAAAAATACATGAACATGCCAAAATGTCAATTTACAAATCAAGAGCGTTTGTGTCCACCTCTGGTTGCAATGCAAGCAACACATCTTCGTCTCATGGAATGGACCAGGCGTCGCACAAAGTCCTGTGGGATATCTGTCCATATCTGCTGGAGCATGTTTCGAAGTTCCAGGAGTGCCTGTGGAACACGTGGTTGACGTCGAAGGCGCCGATCCCATCTCATCCCACACGTGCTCGATTGGTGAGAGATCAAGGGAGCGATCCGGCCAGGGGATGACGTTCACGTTGTTTTGTTGAAGAGAATCCTGAACAAGTCGAACAATATGAGGCCGGGCGTTGTCATGTTGAAAGGTAATACCTGGGCCATGACGACGCAAAAACGGTAGAACAACAGGGCCGATGATCTCGTCGCGGTAGCGCTGTCCATTGAGATTTCCCTCTACCACTATCAAACGGGTCCTCTGTCTTGGTGTCACAGGAACTTTTGTTGTTGAGTATATATGATGGCGGTCTGTAAATAATCGAGTCAAGACCAGAAAATCCAGTGATTGACATCATGAGCTTCGATCCACGCAATTGGGATATGATGACATGCGTCAACGAAGTCAGCGACCCTGACCACCCGATGCCGTTAGTCGCCTCTTACGACAAGCATAGTCGCCTTTCTGTCTGTCATGAATGTTCAATAGTTTCTTAAAATGTGACACTGTACAAAACATACAAGAACGTAATGATCTGCTAATTTATCAGCTGTTGAAACACAGTCGCTCCTGTTATGGCCATCTAAACAACGGTAAACATTGTGTAAGAATACTGTTCGCCGAGGTTTCAATATTTTACAACCTCACTGACCTAACAATCGCAACAACATGGCTGTAAACTCACATATTGTCAAAATGGGTCAAATCTTTTATTTTTGTGCACAGTTTTTCACCTTTTACGGCATCTCTTTTTGCACGCCTACAGGGACCCCTCAGGGTCTTTTTCTATTCTCTACACCAATGTCTGTATTATTGGTGTTTTTAATTGTGTTACTATACTTGCAGGTCTTATTCAGAACTAGAAATGTTATACACGTACCTTGGTGTGATTATCCGTATGGAAATGGCCATACATTATAGGAAAGATAACGCATGTTTTATCCACCTGTTATTGAGTGAGTGAGTGAGTATGGTTTTACGCCGCTTTTAGCAATATTCCATCAATAGCACGGCGGGGGACCCCAGAAATGGGCTTCACACATTGTACCCATGTCGGGAATCGAACCCGAGTATCGGCGTGACGAGCGAACGCTTTAATCGCAAAGCTACCCGAACTTGGCCGGAATTTCTGGGTTCGATAGTAGTGCCACCAGTGGCTATTACGAGTTAAGTCCCTTCTATGTCCTTCTATTGACCAATCAGATTCCACCTCTTGTTTCAAACAAAATGGCGGCGCCCAGTGAAGGTGATCCGATCGGTAATCACGATTTATATTGTAATACAACGAGCCTTACTTCGAGAAGTGCACCTTGATGAAAAACATGATTTGGAAAATATCTGTCGACGCTAAGTTAACGGTACACACGCTTTGCAAATCCTGCAGTCAACCGAACTCTTCGCGGCAGTTACGAACCGGATGTTCATTTCGATTTTGATTTTGATTGGATTGGACAATGCATAGACTTAGCCCAGCCAAAATATAACTCCATAATTGCAGCCTAGTTCGGCAAGGGTGGAAACTGGACTTTTTAAGTCAATTAACTCAAAAGGAGCAGCAACTAGTTAATACAGCAAATTAAATATGAAGTAATAACTCGCAATGTTCAACAGTCGGAGTATCATATTTTTCCTTTTGGCTGCCGACTGCGAACGCCGACGCTGAGAACAACCGGGCCCGGACTTATTTAACCAGCTTGTACCAGGTTTTGTAATAAGTTTTCTTAGAAGTACCTGTGGAGCCACATGTAATGCAAATTACGTTTGTGATGTTCTTGTTTATTTGTTTATGTGTTTATCAATAAGCTTTATTATCCCGGAATTTGGATCACGTAATATTTTCTCAGTTAGGCTCACCGACAATAATTTCTCGTATACCCTTGACGGTGTCTAGGTTATGTTAACACTGTCCCAGCACGGTGCACCTGTCTCATACGAGGGAGTCAATAGTATTCAGTATTCCATACTTAATGGTGCTGAAACAGGTACGTTTTTCGCCCCGGTAACACGTGAAATGTCTGCATCATCTGTTAAAAAACCCAACTTCCTGGTTTTGTTTTAAGCGTTTCGTAGAAATGATATGTTTTTAAATGCACGTGGTTCCTGGTGAGACGGAAGTGTGTGACCTGGTGTGACCCGGGAGCGGGTATATAAACTCGCGCAAACGCCCGGCGTCAATCTTCATTATACTCCATTACAGGTAAGTTACCCTTACTACTCTGCGGGGGCACGGGTGGCCCAGTCGTCTAAGGCGCCGCAATTCGCTGTGCAGAGTTTCGTCTCTTGGGCACGCCAGAAACCTATGATTGTGGGTTCGAATCCCGGTTCGCCCCGATTATGTTTCTAGGTTTGTCAGCACCATACCCGTGCCCGTGGGTTTCACTTCGGGCTTTCCTCCCACATTAAGCTGACACGCCGTGATATGACTGGAGTACTGTTAAAAGCGGCGTTCAAGCCAACTCACTCACTACTACTGTGACGTGTCAAGAGTATACAGGATACGTTGCTTAACCTATTCATGTGTAAATATATCTTGAATTTGTAAATTTTAAGTCCAACACTCCGTCGGGATCTCGTGTCAGGTTTGTTTGCTTGTTGTTTAACGCCGCACTCAGCAATATTCCAGCTTTTTGACGGCGGTTTGTAAATAATGGAGTCAGGACCAGACAATTCAGTGACTGACATCATGCTCATCGATCTTCGCAATTGGGATACGATGACATGCGTCAACAAAGTCAGCGAGCCTGACCACCTGATCCCGTTAGTCGCCTCTTACGATAGGTATAGTTGCCTTTAACGGCAAGCATGGGTTGATGAAGACCTATTCTACCCCGAAATCTCCACGGGTGTTGTATGAGATGCAGTCGGAATTGGTCCCCAGCATCCCATGCTGACTGCAACAGGCGACCGTGCGGATTGGGTGTTCAGGCTCAGTGACTTGGTTGATTGTCTGTCATCGTACACGACTACGTGCTCACAATATCAATCACTTGTTTGTTTTGTCCAAACTCGATTTTTTTACTGGCCGCCGTCACGGGTGGTATTAATACCATCTGGATTCTCAAAACCTTTAAAGGATTGCTGGAGGTTTGTTCTTTTTAGTCTTAGAAAAGTACCAGGTTCAATTCTGTGAAAAAAACATTTGATTTTTCAACTATGTACATCACTATCTCACATGACAAACTTCAGAAAACACTGTATTCCTTGACCCATGGGGATTTTGTTACAAAACGTGGTGACCATAGTTGCATATCTGTCTTCAGAGGTTCGGGACAATTTGTCAAACATGAAAGCAAATGCCACCTGACGTCTACCGAGAAAACAACAAGTATATATAGATGGGACAGAAGTCCAGCATTACACAATTCTTGCTCATCATCCCCAGCTGCGTCCTTGTTGTTGTACTTGTTGTTACCCTGTCTGGCGATCGGCATTGAGGTTCTAAAACAAGGACTGGTCGGCTCGGCGTCAGTATACTGTGTCTGAGTGGGCTAGCACTATAACATCGGCATTAGTCCGGACTAGTGCAAGCAGCCACGCACGCACGCACGCGCGCATGCACGTGCGCACGCACACACGCACACGCACACACTTGCTCATCAATTTCTTTATTCATAGGAATCGGAAATTCTGCTCGGGTTGGAAAAGTCAAAATAAGGTAATTGTTATGGTAGACATTTCCAAATATGATGTCCGATGCAATCCCCTATTTTGACATGTACCGTATGTTCCCGTGTTTTTCAGATGAACAGTTGACTTGCCTTTGCAAGTGTTTGTGACAGGTGCCACCGTCGGGGCAAGATATGCCGCCGTTGCGCAAACACCTGGTAGCATCACTATTTTACAGTGATTCATAAACACATGCTCATCATATAGTCGGAATCGTTAAACCGACTCTATTTTTTGGCAGAGAATATGGAACGGGGTTTTGTCGCTTTTATTTCCTAGATGGAATATTGCTGAGTGTGGCCTTAAGCAGGAAACAAGACAAATTATCATCCTTATAACCCGATAATATATCACTGGTCTGCCAGCGCCGCGCCACGTGTTCAGGGTTTGACAAAGGCGGTAAGGTAAACTTTGGATTTCCTCTCAAAATATTTCATTTAAAACTGCGGGGCGGTGGGGTAGCCTAGTGGTTAAAGCGTTCGCCCCGGATCCGGATTCGATTCCCGACATTCCCGGTTCAATATTTGAAGCTCATTTCTGTTGTCCTCCGCCATGACATTGCTGGAATATTGCTAAACGCGGCGTAAAACCACACTCACTCACTCACTAATTTAAAACTGACACCTGAGAATCTGTTTTAAGCCACGTTAAACCTACCTCTCTATCATTTAACGACTCAAGGCGTGCCAATGATCTGTTCCACACACCACACAACTATTGTTTTGTCTTCCACCAGGAATGATGGGACCAACCACTATTCTCTCGCTCTTGGCAGTCGCCATGATGACAGGTAAATATGCTCTATATATTTTACAATTTTCATCACTTTGATAAGCTTAAAAGGATACGTAGGCTTGAGAAAAACATAGTTTGAGAAAGGGCGTCTCACCCTCGCTCACAATGTAGGCGCCTCTCCCCTTTGTAAATTTATTTTCTTTCAACTGCAGTTGACGGCAGAATCTACTCGAAGTGCGCCCTGGCCAGCGAGTTGGTCAGTCAGCACGGCATCAACAGGGACGACGCCCCTGACTGTGAGTGTGAAGCTATCCATTACAAGTTACATGAATGAACTTATTCATTTGTTAGACTTTGAAATGTGAACTATAGTGACAACGTGTGCAACTGGTCTAAAAGTGAGTGAGTGTGGTTTTACGCCGCTTTTAGCAATATTCCAGCTATACGGCGAGGGAGACCAGAAATGGGTTTCACACATTGTACCCATGTTTTTTGGTTTGGTTTGTTGTTTAACGCCGCACTCAGCAATATTCCAGCTATATGACGGCGGTCTGTAAACAATCAAGTCTGGACCCATGTCGGGAATCGAACCCGGGTCTTCGGCGTGACGATCGAACGCTTCAACCACTAGGCTACCCGACCGCCCTACTGGTCTGAAAGGACCACCCTATATGTACATGGTCTCATCGTTAACAACCTCATCTAACCTCATGCTGTAAGGTGTGTGTTCTTTCTGATACAATCTACAATCTACGGTTCTGTGTTTAGTGACTTCACTTTGTGTAGGTCTTTCATCGACTGTATAGGCCTTCGTGGACGGTCTCTATGTTAGTGACTTGACTTTGTGTAGGTCTTTCATCGACTGTATAGGTCTTCGTGGACGGTCTCTATGTTTAGTGGGGGCGGTCGGGTAGCCTAGTGGTTTAAGCGTTCGCTCGTCACGCCGAGGACCCGGGTTCGATTCCCGACATGGGTACAATGTGTGAAGCCCATTTCTGGTGTCCCCCGCCGTGATATTGCTGGAATATTGCTAAAAGCGGCGTAAAACCAAACTCACTCACTCACTCACTATGTTTAGTGACTTGACGTTGTGTAGGTCTTTCATCAACTGTATAGGTCTTCGTGGACGGTCTCTATGTTAGTGACTTGACGTTGTGTAGGTCTTTCATCGACTGTATAGGTCTTCGTGGACGGTCTCTATGTTTAGTGACGTGACTTTGTGTAGGTCTTTCATCGACTGTATAGGTCTTCGTGGGCAGTCTATATGTTTTCAATCATTGTGTGTAGTTCTTTATTGTTTGTGTTTGTCATGCCATCAACTTTGTATAGGTCTTCGTCGAATGTGTCTCATCTTCCCGAGGCAAGGGAGTTAACTGACTGTAAAAGTTGTTTTGGAAATCCTGCAATCGACCGAAATCATCACGGCATCAATGTCGATTTTTTTAACGCGATTTTGATTAGACTATGCCTTGACTCGTTAGTCCAGCCAAACTATAACTCTATAATTCCAGCCTAGTTCGGCAAGGGTGGAAACTGAACTTATATAGTAAGTCAACTTTATTGCTCAGGAAGATGATATGTCCCGATCGTTTTCATCGTGTAGGGCTTCTATCAACCCTGGAGGTCCACATGGGGATCATTATGTATTAAGAACATCCCTGACCTCATTCGTGTCTTATTGAGAGTTTACATTACATAGGGGTGTGCATGGCGTTTGCCGAATCCACCCTCAATACGGCGGCAACCAACGCCAACAGCGGAGGCTCCAGCGACTACGGTATCTTCCAGGTCAACAGCAAATGGAACTGCGACCCCCAGGACGGTAGAAAGACCTACAATGGCTGCGGACACCCTTGCTCCGGTAAAACAGCCCATTTTTCTCATGTTTCTCTTGTATTAATTAAGAATACCACACCAGGAATGAACAGATAGAGGTTCGTCTAAGTTGGGGGCATTTCGTGCTCAAAGGTTGTTAAACCAGGGCTAAAACATTCAAGACCCTAGTAGAGCTTTCAAAATCTTTTTATGGAAGACATTTGGAGGATATTTCCAAATTTGACGCATCTGAGGCAAAATGATATATATGCTGCAATTACTTATTTTAGCTTTTTCCATTAAGTCCCCGTAGTTTTTTTTCTGGTGAACAATTGACTTGAACTTGCGTGTGTTTGTGACAGGCGCCACCGGTAGAGCAAGATACGCTCACCTTTTCGCTAACATCTGGAATCATCGCTATTTGACAGTGATTCATGAACACATGCTTATGATGTATGAGTCGTAAAATCAACTGTTTTTCTTATGAAGAGTGTTTTTTGTCGCTTTTATTCCGTTGCTGTTGATCAGATATATGCAGGCAGGTAATACTCATTCCATTTGTATGAATGCTTTTTTTAATTTGTTAAATTCAGACTATCTGAACAGCAACATCGGTGACGACGTCAAGTGCGTCAAACAGCTACTTCGGGAACACCGCGGCTGGGGCTTCTCGTGAGTATGACAGAACACCATCACCCTACACGGCAACCCACGACATGGACAGTGTGAGTGAGTGAGTTGGGTTTAACGCCGCTTTTAACAGTATTCCAGTTATATCGCGGCGTGTCAGCTTAGTGTGGGAGGAAAGCCCGAAGTGATGCAGGTCTCAGACGTTTACCACTTCGGTGAAACCCAAGAGCACGGGGTATGGTGCTGACAAACCTAGAAACATAATCGGGGCGAACCGGGATTCGAACCCACAATCATAGGTTTCTGGCGTGCCCAAGGGACGCAACTCTGCACAGCGAATCGCGGCGCCTTAGACGACTGGGCCACCCGTGCCCCCCGACATGGACAGAGGACCACGACGACACAGACTGTCGTGACACCATCACCCTACACGGCAACCCACGACATGGACAGAGGACCACGACGACACAGACTGTCGTGACACCATCAACCTACACGGCAACCCACGACATGGACAGAGGACCACGACGACACAGACTGTCGTGACACCATCACCCTACACGGCAACCCACGACATGGACAGAGGACCACGACGACACAGACTGTCGTGACACCATCACCCTACACAGCAACCCACGACATGGACAGAGGACCACGACGACACAGTCCAACTGTCGTGACATCATTATGCTACACAGCAGTACCATAGTTACCATAGTAACCACAGTAACCTTAGTTACCCAAGTTACAAGAGTTTACAGCAATAGTCATAATTGTCATAGCTACCATCCTTACCACAGTAACCATAGTTACCCTAGTTATCCTTACCATTGCAGATACGGGCATGGCGCACAGTGTAGCTCTGTGACCAGCAGCTACTTGAGCGGATGTACCTACTGAATTGTCATCCGGGCGTGTCACGACAGTCGCCAGGGCAACATCTTTTAATGAGATTGGAGCGACGTTGTCCTTCTCTTGAATAAAAGCAATCAAAGATATTTCGTGTTTCCCTTATTTCATTATGTCAATTAACATCACTTGCACACAGACCTGTAAACTTGTTACCTCAGAACGAAACATAGAAAACTTTTTTCAGGGACAAAACACAAAAAAACCCCTAAAAATCTACACTTAGCCATTTTGTCCAAGCTGTCCACTTTTGATGAGTCGCTGATACAATAGGCTAACGTGGGGACTAATGAATCTCTGTGTGTAAGGTGTCGTTCAATAGTTCGATGTCTAATAAAAATAGGTAATTCCTCAACTTTTGGACATACATCTATTTCTACCCCTCAAATCATTTTCAGAAAGGAAAAACAAGAAACCATAAATTTAAAGTTTATCAAACATCACACAGAGAAATGTGACGTGACACCAATACACCACCGAAGCACGGACTTTGAGATGACCCCGCGTTTCTTGTATTGAGTGAGTGGGTGAGTGAGTATGGTTTTACGCCGCTTTTAGCAATATTCCAGCAATATCACGGCGGTGGACACCAGAAATGGGCTTCACACATTGTACCCATGTCGGGAATCAAACCCGGGTCTTCAGCGTGACGAGCGAACGCTTTAACCACTGGGCTACCCGACCGCCCCTGTTTCTTGTATTGAATCAGGGAGTCTGTGAAAGTCTTTTATTTTTCATGAAATATAAGCCAGTCGTATGCATGATAGACTCCCTGTTTTAATTTCGACTCGCCTAGGATAATGACGCTGTCCGTTTTCAGACCGAAGATATAACCATAAGAGCGGATGTTTGTTGATTTGAACTATCAAAAAAGAAATGAATACACAAAGCCATTTAGAAAGTGGTCAAATGTAACAAGTGTCATATTTATCCCGTTCACGTGGTACGTGGTCTAGACTACCAGTTGCTGACTTTCATTTCACGGATCGCTGACTGTGTGTGCTGGCGATTAGATGCCTCGCGCTGGCAGTGTGGGTTCGAATCTCGGGTGGAACTCAACTACCAAAAGTACTAGAATCTGTACTTTACTAAGAAAGTGTTATCCCAAATATAACATTTGTTATATGTTATATCAAAAAAGAGAAAGAAATAGACTTAAATAATATTTCTTTTTATGTGATATTGAACTTTAAGCTTCCTTGAAATCTTCCCAGTCGTCTAAGGCGCCGCGATTCGCCTTGCAGAGTTGCGTCCCATGGGCACGCCAGAAACCTATGATTGTGGGTTCGAATCCCGGTTCGCCCCGATTATGTTTCTAGGTTTGTCAGCACCATACCCGTGCTCGTGGGTTTCACCGAAGTGGTAAACGTCTGAGACCTGCATCACTTCGGACTTTCCTCCCACATTAAGCTGACATGCGTGATATAACTAGAATACTGTTAAAAGCGGCGTTCAACCTAACTCACTCACTACTACTGTGACGTGTCTAGGATATACAGGATACGTTGCTTAACCTATTCATGTGTAAATATATCTTGAATTTGTAATTTTAAGGTTCAACACCCTGTCGGGATCTCGTGTCAGTTTTGTTTGTTTGTTTGTTGTTTAACGCCGCACTCAGCAATATTCCAGTTTTTTGACGGCGGCTTGTAAATAATGGAGTCAGGACCAGACAATTCAGTGACTGACATCATGCGCATCGGTCTTCGCAATTGGGATACGATGACATGCGTCAACAAAGTCAGCGAGTCTGACCACCTGATCCCGTCGTCGCCTCTAACGATAGGTATAGTTGCCTTTTACGGCAAGCATGGGTTGCTGAAGACCAATTCTATCCCGGAATATTCACGGGTGTTGTATGAGATGCAGTCGGAATTTGTCCCCACATTAAGCTGACACGCCGCGATATAACTGGAATACTGTTAAAAGCGGCGTTTAAACCCAACTCACTCACTCACTCGAAGTCAGATGCGCAAAAGAGTTTTCGCAAGTCAAACAGAGAACCAGTATGAATAGACAGTGGGACAACAGGTGACAGAAGAGAGGTTGCGCTGCATCGTACCACCATAGAAAGTTGTCCGTGCGTTATCTAGTGACACAGACACGAGGACGATTGGATGTATCTTCAGGTGAGTATTCACCTTCACGTTTTGAAGTCACGTTTGACTTAGAATTCTAGCTTGTGAGTACAGGAAATATTCAGAACTTCCTGTATGGAAAAACACTCTTCATCTGTCCACGGGTCTTTGTACTACAGTTGCTGAATGACACATTTGAGTTATGAAATTGTTTGTTTTGTTCGCGACAAATTCCTGTGGTGAGAGGGACTGTGATTGTGATCGACGGAACTTTAAACCATGTTGAATTTGCCGCCAATGTCAGTCCAGCGTGGACGTAGTCTGTTGTAGAGGTTGATGCGGCGACCGGCCCTGCTGTCGAGGATGGACACGTGGCACAGGGCAAGCATGCCATTGCCAATTTCATTTCTACGGCTGGAAGAGCTAGTTTAAAACTTTGACAAGACAATGCGTTCTACTGAAATGTGTGTTTTATTTCGCCGTTATCGAGACGAATGAAGTGTCAGTAAAAGCTCTCCTGTTGCTATAGTCACATGCTTCCCTCTCCATTCCCATTCACCACTGGCTCAACAGGCTTCCATATATTTTACTTCATATGTTGTTTACCCCTCTCACTAGAGTCTGTTTATCCAGAGTACCTTTGGATAAATACAAATATTATTTTGGGCAAGGACTGTTTAATATACATGTCTTATTGAACTCCAGGCAGCGTCATACCAAATGTGTCAAAAGATTGTACTTGTTGTTACCCTGCCTGGATTTTGTGCATTAAGGGGATAAAACAAGGACTGGTCGGCTCAGAGTCGGTATACTGTGTGGGTGGAGTATCCATGTTAAACTTCAGCATGGTATCTCAGTAGGCTATCACTTTTAAACTGGCGTACGTCAGGACTAGAACAAACAGCCACACTCACACATGTATAGGCCTAAGTGCAAGAATCTTGAATTTGACATTAAACCCCATTTCAATTTTCAATATGTCAGTCATTAATTCTTTAGGAAATCACATTGAGTGGATTCTGGTGCAGAAAAGGCCTTGTTTGTAAGTTTGTTGTAAGGGCTAATGAAGATGAAGATCGGGTAGTTACAGTGTTATGTGGATGATTATGTGAACACCCGATCACAAGGATCGATGCTGGTACAGCCAATCACTGGCCCCCTCAGTCTCAATACTAAATATGGATACAGCCTGAATATTGCTGAGTGTACACGTCAGCATGTCAGCTGATGACATTTCGAGGTCACATGACATCTGTTGTGTGCAAGCAGGTGATCATAATGACAGAAGCGTAACAATGTTTCCCTTCAGTAATTGGATATTATTTTCATGTGAATATGCACTACACTTCTCGAAATATCCAGCTATTAATTTGATCTACTTATGTCTTCCCACATTTGAAGACTTGAAAGAATCTAGATTATATTTTCAGCAGCAAATTCCAAAATTGGTGCACGCTTCTGACATGAAGGGTTCACGTGATTTTGGGATCCTGGATATTGTGATGAAAGTACCCTTATTAACATAACCAATATGTTCTATTTGATGTCACATATATGGCAGTACTATAGTTGCTACAGTAACACATGACCCGTGAAGGTCTTGGTTAGAATAGGTCTTCAGCAACCCATGCTTGCTGTCAAAGAGGTGACTAACGGGATCAGGCTTGCTGATGTCAGTCATCGTAACCCAATTGCGTGGATCGATGCTCATGATGTCGATCACTAGATTGTCTGGTCCAGATTATTTTCAGATCACTGTCATGTAACTGAGATATTGCTGAGTGCGGCAACAAAGAAAATAAAAAACCCAGAAACATCCAAAAGACTGTAACAGAAATTGTTTACATTTTCATTATAACAGGTGGCAATCAACAGAATGTTCCTGATGCTGAATAATATTTCTAAAACCAGAAAGGCAGAAATATAAACATTAAAGTTACGTTTCCTTGGCAGAGTCTTGTTGACTGGTACTAGTAGTTAAGCTTAATTATAGCTAAAATGGATAGAATTATCATTAAACCGCCCGCATGTTATCAGAAATGAGCGGGCCACTGTAACTTGATAATGTCCTCATATTGCTTGACGACGGGCCATTATCACGCCCGTTGTTAGGTGACGTCATAGGATAGGGATAGGTGACGTCACGTTGAATATTGACGTCATCTGGTTTGTTCTATGACGTTTCCATATTTGTAAAAGTAGGTAAGTGACACTCGTGTTGATTGCAGTAAATGTTTCAAAACCGATATTGTTGTTTCTTTTTATTTGATAACAAATTCCATCCATTTTAGCTATAATAACGGTAACGCTATTTTTCAGGGCATTGTCATTTGCAGAAGCCCTCGGTCTTTTCAACTGCCCTCCTTCGTCGGGCAGTTAATAGAAGACACCGGGCTTCTGCAAATGATAATGCCCTGAAAAATAGCGTTATCCTTATATTATAAGGGTAACGCTATTTTTCAGGGCATTATCATATGCAGAAGCCCTCGGTCTTTTCAACTGCCCTCCTTCGTCGGGCAGTTAATGGAAAACCTCGGGCTTCTGCAAATGATAATGCCCTGAAAAATAGCGTTATCCTTATATTATAAGGGTAACGCTATTTTTCAGGGCATTATCATTTGCAGAAGCCCGAGGTTTTCCATTAACTGCCCGACGAAGGAGGGCAGTTGAAAAGACCGAGGGCTTCTGCATATGATAATGCCCTGAAAAATAGCGTTACCGTTATTATAGATGGATGGAATTTGTTATCAAATAAAAAGAAACAACAACATCGGTTTTTAAAAATTTTGCAATCAACACGAATGTCACTGACCCCATTTTACAAACATGGAAACGTCATAGAACAAACCAGATGACGTCACTATAATACGTAACGTCACTTTCTCTACCTTATGACGTCACCTCACAACGGGCTTGATAATGGCCCGTCGTCAAGCATTATGAGGGCATTATCAAGTTACAGTGGCCCGCTCATTTCTGATAACGTGCGGGCGGTTTAATGATAATTCTAT